TAGACCTAGACATAGACATGGAGATATAGACATAAACATACATATGTAGACGTAGACAAAGACATTTCATACTGGCAAAAGAGATGGCTGTAGCTTTGAGGTTAAAATAAAAGGATGGTTATATCACGACTTACACTAGTGAGTAGGCTTCATCCTGAAAGGGTTTTTAAATCACAAATTTGTTTTCTTATTTTTTTCTAGATTTTTGGGTGTTTTGTTTTGTTTTGATTCTTTTTTGGATTCTTTTTTTTTCCTTCTTCTTTTTCTATTCGTTTTCATTTTGTTTTGTTTGTTTGTTGTTGTTTCTTCTTTAAACGGTTTATTGGAGAAAGAAAGGGTCGAACTCAATCCCCCCACTCCGCTCTTGCTCCACTCCATGCGACCTCTATCTTTCTGTGCTTCTGATGAAGACCTGTGAATGTCATAACGTGTTATCTAATTATTTAAAACTACAATGGGAGAGCCTTCTCCTCCAGAGTGACCGAATGCTATTTTATATCCTTTCATTGGTGCCAATTTGCAAATAGATTAAATCATAAGCGTTGATGTAGGCCTGAACCCGTACAAACAAACCGGCGGCGGGTGAGCTCCACCCCTACCCCCACCCGGGGGTACTCCCTTATATGGGCTATATAGGCATGCACAAAGGGTGTGTTTTTTTAGCCGCTTTGTATATTATTTTGAGAAGAAGCTACTTTTTTCATCATTATCGATACGGCCATTGCCTTTAACATCGGTCTGAACTAGCAAACTAATTATAAAGCGAGTCTGAAACAGGGTTTGCTCTTGAATAGGGAATCGAATTTTTGGTCAGGTCATAAATAGGGAAAAATCGCCAATTTTGGTCTTAAATAAGAGTAAGGATTTTCGCACACCCCCACTCAAGTATTGGTGCCCAAGCCCTGATACTCCTAAAAAGATAAAAGCAAACAAATTCAATCTTCCGAAGAAGCTGCATGCCTTCAACCAGTGTCTTTCGCAAATTGAAGGAGTGGTAAGCCTGTGAACAAGATTTTACGAAAACGGGGCGCGCGTGGCCTGTAGGATGAAAAGATTTCATGATGCGTGACGAGTGGTAAAAACACAAGTAGTTCGTGACGCATGAAGTCTGTGAAAACATTGTGGTGAATTTATGAATTTATTTATCGGCGTAAAAATAAATAACAAACGTATCACAAAGAGGAGAGATTCAACACGTTTTGAAAACAAGCAAATGTCTTCACCTTGATATTATTTCAGGCTTTTAACGTAACCATTGTAACCATTCTGCTGCAGTTGGCGAACTAGCGATATTTTTGTGCCGATGTGTTGCGTGACCTACACTTCTATTTCAGACGTACAAACTACTGACGGGCATAATATATTTAATAGTATGCACATAGATCTTTTTATAGTACTTTAGCAAAGTTGCCCGATTATCCGTTTCGTGACTCACTTGGTTAATGAAAGCTAAAACGGCTTATTTAATCTGCAAATTGCTATGACCACCTATTCAGTTTTCGCGTCCTTGCTCTACTTCTTAGCGCTGTCATTCTTCCCTTTTCGTCGATACTCAGTCGCCTCCACGATCGTGACTACGACTTATGGACCTGTCAACGGGTCTGTGATATCACTGTCAACGAACAAGACTGTTATAACCTACCTCGGGATACCTTTTGCCAAAGCGGAACGTTTTGAATACCCGGTTCCGCCAGACGATTGGACTTCAACATTGCAAGCAAACAGGATTGACAAGATTTGTCCTCAGCCGAACCTGCGTCCTAACAAACTCCCTCTCATGAGCGAAGAATGCCTTCTGCTAAGTGTGTACGTCCCTGCTAATGCGAGAAGCAGTTCTGCTCTTCCAGTGATGTTGTGGATTCATGGTGGCGCCTTTATTTTGGGTGATACTTTAGGCTACGACGGTAGCGTGCTGGCAACTGAGGGAAATGTGATTGTCGTCACAGCTGCTTATCGTTTGGGAGTTTTTGGATTCTTGAGCTCGAACAGCGATAATCTCAAAGGAAACTACGGCATGCTGGATCAGATAGAAGCCATGAAATGGGTGAACAAAAACATTGAAAGGTACGTTGTGAGATATTGTCATTGGAGTATACGAAAGGATCAAGCCTGGCAATTGTTAAAAGCGTTGTTTACTATAAAGCCTCCAGCACAATGCATAATTGTAGGGTAAAATATTAATAAGTCCCATGACAACCAAAGCCAGCCATAAATCTTTTTGTTTTATGTGAGTTTGTAGGTATTGATCAGAGTTTTTTTAAGGCGGCGACCGATGATGAATTTTGTGGTAAGGAATTTGCTTTCGAGCAATATCATACGAGAACATTCTTTGCTATAAATTTATTTACCTTTCAACACAGGCCGCCCAGACGTTGAATACGATTAATACGTGACATTATACTGTTGGCGATTGCGTTACAATTTTAGCCGTTTATAAGACAACGTATGAGAATGCTTCGAAGATTAGGGTAATTTTCGAAGCATTCTCATACATTGTCTTATAAACGGCTAAAATTGTAATGCGATGGCCAACAGTATAATGTCACGTATTAATCGTATTCAACGTATGGGCAGCCTGTGCTTTCAAAAGTACAAATATTTAAATGGCCGCGCGAAGAGCTTCTGCCAGGTTTTATCTTTTCCACTTTACCCCGAAACATTTGAACGGAAGGAAACATTTTATTGTATAACTAGCAAGCGCCCTACGTTGAAGGGTTTATGCAAATTTCCAGAAATCCCAGATACACACAAACAACTTGACGCACAGGAATCTAAATATGCAATGAGCCATTTAATTTTTTTTCTTATCGCTGATTAATATTCACTTAAGCACTGAGAAGTCGTTTCCTCTTAACGATTATGCTCGCACCAGTAGTTCTGCATAGCCCTTAGTTACACGACGTTGCGGACAAGCCAAAGCATCAGTTAGTTTTTGTAATGAAGTTCAGCATTATTGTAGTTTGCGGACAGCACTAGTTAGCTTTTGTTCCTTACTAACTTTTTGTTTTGGTCTGTTCACCTAGGCGTCGTGGCTCGTCTTGTTTCCAAGTCACCGACAAAGTGTACATTGCTTGCAAAACCATTTTTGTGACTTTTCTCACGTTTTCTTGCTGAGGAGTCGAGTTAATACGTTGAAAATATACGTTGTTACTGCTTGTATCACGAAGCATGAATTCTAGCCTTATAGACCTTGGTATTGAGGTTGCAACCCCTCCCCCTCCAAGACCCAGTGAAGTCAGTGAATAAAGGAAATGCATGACTTCTTATAATACATTGTATTTCCCATGGTTTAGGTTTGGAGGGGATCCTAACAAAGTCACCATATTTGGTGGATCGGCCGGTGGCATGTGCGTTGCCTTGTTAATGCTGTCTCCATTGGCCAGCGGTCTGTTTCAAAACGTCATCATGCAAAGTGGAACAGCTGCAGCTATTTCTTCAGCGATGGAGAGAAATGAGGCCGATGTACGAGCAAGGTAAAAATGTAATCCGTTACAACACATAATGTTGTAAGCCGTTATGTATTTAGGAACACATTTAGGAAATCATATCAAATTGAATCTATCACTATACTGGGGACGGGACTGTGATCAAAGCGATGACGACGACGGCGGCGACGTCTACGTTGACGACGGTGAAAATGTCAATGACACAAAAGATAATTTAACGATGGTCATCACAATTTTATGCAATGACGGGTTCCTTTGTAATTGTAATTTTTGTGGCATTCTAGGAGTTTTGCCGAAGCAGTGGGATGTGAAATAAATTCACTGAAAGCATGCGTGAAAACGAAATCTACTCAAGCAGTTTTGGATGCACAGTTACAAGTATTTTCAAATCCAATTTTGTTGTCTTTTGGACCAGTTGTGGACGGATATTTCCTACCAGGTATAAAGTGGTCGGTCTTACATGTAGTCATGTAATTATCTTTTCTGACTGCCATACATTCATTGAAACGATTGCTGAAAGCAAGTTTTTATGCAGCTGTGTTTATGATCATCTCATCTCATCTCATCTCATCTCATCTCATCTCATCTTATCTTATCACTTACAATTAACTACTTTCGATTAAACTACTAGCTGATATCCAGACCTCCCATTTGTCTCTTTGTAAAAATGTCCTCCTCATGTGCGCTTCAAAAGTGCATGGTAAACCATCCGAGTACTTCGTCTCATGTGCGGAACTTCCGTCAAAACGAAATAGAAAGATTGTCAAAATCTTTTTGATAAACTTCACTTTATCGATAATTTGTTTCAAAACCATAGCGAGGAATTAGAAAATTCCACAAACTCAACAGTTTTGCTACTTTTTTCTACCCTGGTGTTTCTTGTTACTATTGTCTTCTATTAACAGATTCTCCTGTTAAACTACTTCGAGCCGGCAAGTTCAACAGAAGCAACATCATCGTGGGAGTGGCAAAGGAAGATGGCTCAATTTTTATCACTGGTGTTAAAGGTTGGCACTAATATCTTAAAAATGAAATATCTGATCATATACCTTCCTAACACTTCTTAATAGACTTGTTAATCTTTGATTGATACTTTTGCATCCCATACCAAAAGGTTATTTTTTTTAACCTATGCCCACGTGAATCCACATTTGATAGGTAGTTGGCGAAAAGCCAATTAACGTGTTGCATGATCTATACTGTTAATTGTTACAATGAACTGTAGGCATTACTACTTGAAATATAAACTTTTAAGCCCCGGCCAAACGATCGCAACATTTCAACGCAACATATCCCAACATTGTTGGGCGCAACATGTTGCGGGCGTTTGGCCACTTTTTTGTGATGTGTTGCGACGTGTTGCGACATGTTGGGTATTAAAAATCAAACTAGTGCGCATGCCCAGGTGTAACATTGTTGACCGAGACTGGCCAAACGACTACAAAATCATGCAACATCCACAAATGTTGCATGAAAAATTTGACCAGTTTCAAATTTGAGCCAACAACACCCAACATGTCGCAACACATCACAACAGGGTGGCCAAACGCGCGTAACATGTTGCGCCCAACAATGTTGCGATGTGTTGTGCTGAAATGTTGCGATCGTTTGGCTGAAGCTTGCAAATGCTGGGCCAACAATACTGGGGTATCTTGTGCTGAAATGTTGCAATCGTTTGGCTGGAGCTTGCAAATGCTAGGCCAACAATGCTGCGATATAATGTATTGATATGTTACGATCGCTTGGCCGGGGCTTTACACTTATATACTTTCTCTTTTCAAAAGGTGTCATGAAAGGCGTCAATATTTCCAACGGCATGCCAAGAGCTTTGTTCAAACAGGAGATTAGTAAACGAACTTGGCTTCGAAATCAAGACTCCCAAGTGCTCGAGCTGCTCGTCTATGAGTACACCGACTGGTCGAATGCCACCGATCCCTTTTTACTACGACAACAGTTCATCGACATAAACTCGGATGCAACGTTTAAAGCTCCTGCAATCAAGTCAGCCAAAGCATTCGCAAAGAAACAATCTCCCACTTACTTTTATCAGCTTGAAATAGCACCCAGGGTATACCCTGCCATTCCATTCCCTACACCGCCCTGGTTAGGAGTATATCATAGAGCAGATGTGTTTTACACTTTTGGCGACCCACTTGTAATGGCTGAGAATCTCAAAACTGCCGCTGAAATCCAACTGAGCAAGGATATTATGACGTTGTGGAGTAATTTCGCCAAAACAGGGTAAGTGTTAACAACATTTACAGCATGACATTCAAAAGTGAAGTCATACATGTCCAGAGTGATCTTCCTTTGTGGTGTAATAATAGATGCCAAAGAGTCTTAACTCTCAGACGTAACCCTGGATGTGTGTGTGTGTGGGGAGGCGGGGAGGAGTCTTAATTGCCTTTAGAATACATTTATATAAACATATTTTGATATGATAAATTTAAAACCTTGCACTGGGATGGGGAAGGGGCTGGATTGTGTAATAGCCTTTTACTCTGGAAGGCTGACAAAATCATTTTAATTTGAAAACACATTTTGATGTGGTTGAAGAGTCGGTTCATGCTTTGTGTGGGTATATCGAGTTATGGTGAGCGCGGGAAGTTTGGAGAGCACAAAGGAATCGTGAGAATTGCTCGAGGCGATAGCCGAGAGCAACTCTAGCAGGTTGAAATTTCTTGAGTGCTCTACAAACTTCGTAAGTGCATCCATAACTCGATAAACCCACAGCTAATAGCATGAGTTCTTTTATAACATGGCGACAACAACTTGGGCGCTAAAACATGTTTTATTTGTGATTGACTAAAAAGTTCTCACAATGCACGGTGAAGGAAAACAAAGGTCATTAGGATCCTAACACGCCACAATCAGTTGAGTAACAATTGAACTAAAACGTTTAATCTGTTTTCTAAAATTGTCAATGAAAAGTTCGCTTCTTCGAAATAATCATATTGAAAACGTAGGCAAACAAAGTCAAAATGCTCAAGTTTAAGTAAACATCTTAGCTTGGCAAGAGTCAAAGGCTTGAAGTAGGACTTGGATTGTTCGGAATAATCTTCACATGGCCAAAACTTAAACAAAAGGAACTAGCACTAAATTCGGACGACGGAAATTCTGCAGCTAAATTGAAACTGCACACGTCATGTCATATAAAACTCAAAATACTGGTTTGGTGAGCGAGTTCAAGATCATTTACAAGATATATATAGGTTTTGGGATTTGTAATAACGAAGACTACCACAAGAGAGGTTTATCTTCCCACTCCTTCCTTTTCGTGCGATAACCGGATATGATTTTACAAGTCCATCAGCGGATTACAGAAAATCACAACCACTGAATGTAACTTGCTATTTACTTAATTCAGCTATATGTGCGTGCATCATAATTCATAGCATTAACTGTGAATTAATTAATTAATGATTATTTCTCATATATTAATATTTGGAGCCAGACTTGAAACGTTGCTCAAAACCATCCACCTACTACTTTTCTTCGTTAAAAGCTCCCAACAAAGAAAGTTTATATTAAAACTTCCACCCGCAATGAGGACTGTAAAGCGATATGTCTGTTGTGATGTCACTAAGGACCTCTATTAAAATTACTTTTTGATTAAAATGCTAGAAATCCAAACAAACCGACGCCTGTAGGTGTGACTTGGCCCCAGTACACAGCTGACCGAGAAGGGTACCTAGGACTGAGTCCAAATTTGACAGTAAGATTTAAGATGCGTGCAGACAAGATGGCGTTGTGGAATGAGCTTCTACCAAGTATTGGAGAAACACTCAAACCCACTACATCAAGTCAAATACCGACGACATCAACTAAAACGGAAGGTGGAAAAGGTATTAATTATATAACGTTGAGCTAAAAATCTCAGAAAACTGCGAAATTCGTGGATTAAATTAATAGGAAATGTAAATTAGGTTTTAGCGAATCGTTGTCGAAGCGCGCTGAAGGATTTCCTACTTCAGATCTTCAGTCTGAACGTTTTCTCGCTAGTATTACAATGTATGCCATGAAGACAAGATTCATTATCGTAGTTATACACACAACTTAAGCAGTTGTGANTCCCACGTTAGTAAGGGATTGTTATTTCAAGCTATCAGCGCTTGACACTCAAATAAAATTTCAACATCGTTATCATTATCGTCGTCGTCGTCGCTTCGTCGTCGTCGTCGTCGTCATCATCATCACACGCTTAGTTAAGATTTCGTTGCATATTGCTAGACTCACTGGGCATTCTGATACATCTGACGCTTTTGTTTTCGAGCATCTCGAAATAATGTTAAAAACAGAGGGTAGTGACGATTTGTATAGGTTATTGTATCAACGCGAGTGCAATAAATAAGGATTTACATGACAAGTGATATTAGAAAATTCTCTCCAAATTGCACGAGCCTTTAGGGGAGTACAATCTGAAAGAATTTTCAAATATTACGAGAAGTGCAAATCCTTAAGTGTTCGAGGATTCATGCGATTGCTTGTATAAATTGGCACTACCCTCTTTAAAAATTACGAAGGAGCGCACGTTAAAAATTAATGCAAAATTACCGATAAATTGGCGAGCTCTCTCAGCCAATCACAATGAAGTAATTTCTTCAGTCTTATAATAAAAAGAGTAACACTCTCATGGTTACCGTCATCAGAAAGCAAGTAATTTTAACGATGCGCAAAACTTCTTTTTATTACGAACAATGATAGTATAATAGTGAAGAATGACACCTAGGGGTTATTATGAACTTAAAAAAAAAACAATTATAGTTAGGACTAAGCAAAACTGAGATGATTATGAATGATAAACCTGATAACGCTAGGTTATATTTTTCGCGACGTGTGGTCATAGTAAAATTTAAAAATGCTGACTAGTCTAAACTAGACTAGACTAGATTGACACGTGTCGCCGCCATTTTCGAAATGCCAATATAAACATTCTGACTAGACTAGACTGTCACGTGATCGCCGCCATTTTCCATAATTTCGTCTGCAATTGGGTTGTCTTTGGCTCCGGTTCTATCGTCATCTTGTTCGCGTGCAAACTCCAGAAAAACCTACGGATATTGTTTTAGTCGGTGAAAACGTAAACACAGAAGTGCTTTAACCGTATGTACCGTCCGGCAGTAGGGGCATTAGTTTTAGGCCTCACAAGGAGTGGGGAGGGGGCAGAAATATACTTAAATCCCCGAAAAGAAGAAAGGAGCGGGCTTACCTCATATACAACTATGCAGCAAAGTTGTTAATAATGGCATCTATGAATTACTCCTGGGTTATAAATCGATTACTTGTTCACGAAATTCTCGATGATTACCACATCTCTCCTTCAAAACGATTTTAGCCCAACAGGTTTATATTCCTTTGAACAGATATTAGACCTCGAGTTAAATTTGTTATGAAATGGCAACGAGAGGTTGGACATTAATTAAAAGGTTAACTGTCACTGAATGATGGCTTTGAAAGGGGTGTCAGGATTTCTAATTTTTACCAAGTTTAAAATTCACCAAGTTTAAGCACCAGGGAGAAACCAGAAAGTGAACGAAATAGCCGAGTTCTTCAGATTATTTACCATGGCTATATTTTTGTAGCAAAGAAAGAAAGAAATAATTAGTAAAGGTCAAAACTCTACCTGTTCAAGAGTTGATTGACTGAAGCTGTACTCTTCTATCCCGATCTCTTCCTTACCTGAAAAATCAAGCAAAGAAAACTCGCTTAAATAACAAAACAAAAGGACTTCACCTTTTCATTTCATCGACGTTGACAGCACAAAAAAAATGAAACAATAAACTGCAATATTCATAGAGGAAAGCTGCATTATTCCCTGCTGGTTTTAAAGCGGATCCTCTATCCTGGTAGAGCTGAGACATTTAGAAATGCTGATTTTTCAGGAGGGAGGAAAGCATGAGTATCCAGGGAAAAAGCCTCAGAGCAGGCTGAGGGACGAGAACCACTGACAAATTCAACCCAGGCAGGATTCGAGCTCTGACCACGTTGATGGGAGTCGACCGCTCTCAACACTATGACATCTAACAAATAGTTGCGGCTGCATGTCTCTGGATGAAACCCAGGTATGTAACCATTCTGACTTTAAGTCTGTGGATGACTCCTTGGTATGTGGTGTGTGACCATCCATCCACGAAAGCTATCAATTACTGCTGTTTTTTTTTTTTTATACTTTTGTAAAATGAAATTTTAGCAAGGGTTTCATTAATGTTTTCAGAAGGAGGGCAACCTTTTTTGAACTAAACTTCCTTATAGGAAGAACTTTCCTCTAGAAGGTCAAACCAGGCGAGCAAAATTGTCCTTGCATCCGGTCAATTTGCCCAGTCCCTATTTTAGATTTTTTTTTTTTCTTTTTCCAATTTTTGCTTTTTGAACTTGGTACTCCTGGGTTAACACTATCCCATTATTTACTGCCACGTTTGTCCCATACCTCTTTCGAGTTTGTTAAAGATTACTGATAGCGCTCCTACGCCTTCTCTCGGGACCTTGTATATCACTCTTCCACCGAACTCCTCGGACCGAGTGGCACCTGGAAGCAACTCTACAACGTAATTGTGTAACCGCTCCATCGAATCATCCGTGGGGGGTTTAGGGGACTGGATTTGAGTGAGTTTGATTTCCAAAGTGTAGCCACTGCCATAAGTACTCTTTAAATGTTGCGTCGAGCCAAGACACCTAAAGGCAGGATGGTGATATATTGGTCAGGTTCTTAAGGACTGGCTTTTTGTAATTCCAAATAATAGCAATGGTAAATCCATATAACCTCTTAGAGAGTATGAAAATTTAAGTAGAGGCCATAAATAAAGTGACTGGAGAGGGAATTGTGCGAACTTAACTTGCTTTGGTTGATGTTATGTTGTACAGTTTTCAAACAAACAAATTTCTAATTGATTTTGACCACGCAATTTTTAGAAGAAGATTCCAACTAAAGTCTTCATAATGGCTGGAGCAAAAGCCACTTGCTACATATTTAACTCCAACCTGGCTCCAAAGACAAAAGACAACTTTTTTCATCCCTAGGCCTTGATGTGGTATCTTTAGTTTTATCGAAATAGGCCAATCGGTGACAATGCGCAGTTGAGCATCTTTGCTTTCAAATGTTATAACTAACTAAATTCTGCTATGATATTCAAAGTAGTGACTCACTTCAGTTGACCTTTGACCATAATACCAACTCGTGAACACAAGGCGTCAGCCTCCTCCATGGAGTGAGTGGTGAGTATGGCCCCCCGGTTTCCATGGACGTTCTTACTAATAGTGTTCCTAATCAGGGGGTGTGAGACAACAGAGAAAGTAAAACATTTAGTACCCTTAAAAGAGCAATTACTCGTTTTGAAAGAAGTCGACGACGAGGGTGACGAAACAAGATGGAAGACCAAAAGTTTTTTGGTGCCAAAACAATAAAGAGCTTGTAGCGGACGACATAAGTATTGGCGCGTAAACAGCAAAACGCATCCCGCGGATGACAAGTGTTTTGGAGCGAAAAAAAAGCAGGCTATGGACGACAGACGTTTTGATAAAAGATTCACACACGAAAACAACGATAACCTTGCCGTGAATGCTGGACGTTTTGGCGCGAAAACAGCAAAACGCTTCCGGCGGGTGACAGAAGATTCGGCGCGAAATAGTTAGGCCACGTTTGACAGCTATTTTCGCACGAAAATAGCAAAATGCTTGACAGTTTGCCATACTCGCCGATAGTTTTTCACGATCAAGGTACTTTTTTCCTGGTGTCATTCACGTCGGTAGCTGGCTGCTTACCATAGGAAACGTCTTGCGGATGGGTCCATGCCAGTTGAGGGCTCGTCAAGCAACAGCAGTTCAGGGTCCCCAAGCATGGCCATGGCAAAACTGACCTGTAAGCACAAGACGAATACTTTTATTGCTAATTTCTGCTTACAAAATGAATAAAATCTCAAACATACATGTTGTGAGAACAAAGAAAATCATCAAGGATTTATTGACTTATGAAACACCATATTCTCTGAACTTACAAGAAATGTATGACAGCAGGTAAGGAGAAAGTCTGCCTCGACTAGGAAGTACAATACTAAAATTGTCCACAAGCGGAACAATCAAGTTTAATAGCTTTGGAAAAAGCCAAAGCAACAAATACTGACCTTTCTTTTTGTTCCACCTGAAAGATCTTTGGACCTCTTCCCGGCATGTTCTGTGATCCTCAAAGCTGACATGTAGCTAACAAAAAGAAAAACGAACAAAAATGTTGTCAGTAATAGCAAAGATAACCTAACTACAGAAAGCAGTTTTTGCAAACGGAAAGCAGGAGTGGCTCAGTAGGTAGACCGCTGACCATACACCAATCTGGCTTGGGTTTGAATCCAGGGGCCTGTTTCTCGAAGGTACCGACCCGAGGGTCCCGAAAAGTTTTCGCACCCGGAAAGCCGTATCAGAACCTCAAACCTTATTATTACAGAGCTGTTCTATTTACATATTCTTAGTATGACCAGAAGTTCCCTTCATACAAGACGTTTCAGGCGTATACCCCTCTCTGTTTTTAGATAAAGATTAACTAAAAATTGCTTTCCGGGCCAGAAAAGTTTCCGGGGCTTTCGAGAAACGTGCCCCTAGACCCAGTGTCATAAGTGGGTTAAGTTTGTTGTTGGTTCTCGCCTTGTTCCGAAGGTTTTTCGTCGGGTTCTCCGGTTTTCCTCCCTCCACAAAAAATCAACACCTCTAAATTCCCGTTCGATCAGGAAACAGTGGACGAATAGCCACTCCCTGGATGTGCCACTGCTTATTTCCATTTTAATTAGTTATATCATAAATTTGTTAGGTGAATATCTATACGTGTACCTATTTTGTAAAAACTGGTTTCCGTCTGCAGCCTTCTTCAAAAATGTACCATGCATAGCAACTATAAATATTTGACTGAAATGGAATGTTCTGCTAGACAGAACCAAAACACGACTTTCAACCCCCTTAAAGCTTGATGAGCATTCCCTTAGTGTAATAAAGAAAGTGCCCCCCCCCC